AAGAGAAAAAAGAATGCACAGCAGCCCCCCGGCTGGCAGCATGACTCACTCGTAGAGCTCCACGGCGGCCTGCAGAGCAGCGCGCACCTCCTCGGGGAAGTCGCCCGCGTCCTGCGCGCCCTGAGCTGCAGCTTAAAAAAAAAGAAAAAAGAATGCACAGCAGCCCCCCGGCTGGCAGCATGACTCACTCGTAGAGCTCCACGGCGGCCTGCAGAGCAGCGCGCACCTCCTCGGGGAAGTCGCCCGCGTCCTGCGCGCCCGGGCAGCTGAAGCTCTTCCCTTTGGCGTGGTACACGTTGCCCAGGTTGTAGAGCGCTCTCGCCTCTCCCACCTGTGGAGACGGCGCAGTGTTACTTTCACCTTTTGCACCCGGAGGGCAGGTGGTGTAATGCCTACCACACGCTCTGCAATGTCCTGGACCTCATGGCCCAGAGGAAGGTTATGCTGGCCACCCACACAGGACCCACCAATGGCCGCCAGGAAGAAGGGCCTCTCACTGTTCACTGTCCCCTCTACTTAATCATTTGTATGGTGGTTCTGTTTTCTATGAGTATTTTCCTTTTGGTATTAACTTGATTAAATGATTAAACAGAATTAAAACACAAACCAATTCAGTGAAAATGTCCCCTTTTTACCTTGTCGTTAAGTTCTCTGGAAATATCGAGGTGTCGCTGACAACAGACTATGGCTTCGTCAAAATTTCCAAGAACTTTCAAGGTGTTGCCCAGATTACCACTCGCTTTGGCTTCCCCCAGCTGGTCTCCAATCGTCCTGAAAAAAAATAATAATAATAAAGTAAAGCACTTAAATCTAAAGTGGCCAGGATACAGTTTCCCTAGAGGACAACTAAGGTGCTTATGTAAGAAAGACCCATTAGCCCTGAAACCTACTTTCAATAAAAATTTAAAACTTACATTTCTGTACTTAAATGTAATTAATTTTCACTCATTTAAATTAAACTCTAGGGTCATTTCACTATTATTCATTCAGTTAATTAAACTCAGCCTAAAGATTCATTTTAAAATGCAATGCTATTTCATTAGAACTCACTAAATGTATTCAACTGTTTTTTTTTTTCTTAATATATTTTATTGATTTTTTACAGAAAGGAAGGGAGAGAGATAGAGAGTTGGAAACATCGATGAGAGAGAAACATCGATCAGCTGCCTCCTGCACATCTCCTACTGGGGATGTGCCCGCAACTCAGGTACATGCCCTTGACCGGAATCGAACCCGGGACCTTTCCGTCCGCAGGCCGACGCTCTATCCACTGAGCCAAACCGGTTTCGGCTCAACTGGTCTTTTAAATTGAATACAAATGTCATGAAAGTGACCATTTAGGGAGAAAGGACATTGAGAGGCTCAAGCCAATCACCTTGCAAGAGTGAGATCGTGATGGTGGTATTCCAGGGCTTTGGCGTAATCGTGCAGGTAGAAGTAGGCATTGCCCAGCTGGCTGTAGATAGCACTGAGGGTCTTCAGGTCTTCGGTTCCCACCTGAACTGCGGCTTCAAAGAAGGACACCCCCGCGCGGCAGTCTCCAGCCTTGCACAGGCGCTCCCCCTCCAAGGCCAGCTCCAGGCAAGAGGCTTCCATTCTACAGAACGACAAGGAGAGCCACATCCGTCAGCACATCAGGACCCCACGGCCTTCCCTTCCATACGCCATGCAAGTGTGGACTGTGGCTGCCCCTGCTCAGAACAGCTGCCTCCATAACTGAAGTATGTGCATGACTGATAAACGGTAAGCCGTTATTTATGTAAGAGGCCACCTGCCTATTCAATGTCTCTGAGTCTCAGGTCTTTTATATAGAATAGCTAACTATTTCTACATGGAGCCCATTTTAATGCCCCCACCCCCGACACACACACACACACACACACACACACACACAGCAACCAACTTTACCAATGAGAGAACCTAAGAGGTCCCTAAAGCAGCGTTTCTCAACCTGTGGGTCGCAACCCCTTTGGCGGTCGAACGACCCTTTCAGAGGGGTCGCCTAAGACCATCCTGCATATCAGATATTTACATTACGATTCATAACAGTAGCAACATTACAGTTATGAAGTAGCAATGAAAATAATTTTATGGTTGGGTCACAACATGAGGAACTGTATTTAAAGGGCCAGAAGGTTGAGAACCACTGCTAAACCGTTAGAGTTGTGGCAGACTTAGACTTCCTCAGGGAGATGGGGTGCCTGAGAAAGTGAAGTCCCACAATTATACTCTTCTCGATCCAGGTGTCCAGGTAACCTACTCACCTGTCCATCACCCCCTCCTCCCATCCATCTTTCTCACACACTCACTCTCCTTCCTTTTCCCACCACCACACGTTTACTTGTACTTAGGAAAATAAAGGAGCAAAACGTCTTGATCTACAAGGCACGCCATAAGAGCACTAAGTGTCAAGAAGCTACACATTAGAAAGCAAGGCTTAAAGATTCACAGAAATTCAGTTCTCAGTCTGTCACTGAATTTAAGTCAGAGAATTAAGTTAACTAACTACATCCAGGGAGAAAAAGCAATGATACTTTGGATTCTAGTCCTAAACGTGAGTAGGTGTCGCTCACACTGTTTCTCCAACATCTGTGACTTCTGCCATGTCTACGTTCCAGCTGTCATTCCCTTAAATGGCTTTCTGTGATCTGGCCAACGTCCTTCCAATGGCACCGTCATTAAAAAAAAGACCTAGCTCATCCAAAGCAGGGCTGTGAACTGAGTCTGATGTGATACTAACGCTTGTTTTCTCATGCACATTAAAGCACACATGTGGCTATTGAGACAGAAAAGCAAGTGAAGTTCCCATGTCCCACACCCGGCATAGCGTCCCCCTGTGGAAGACTGGTTTAGCTCATCCGTCTTGGAGCTAACCCACTGAAGGGAACCCACTGGGATTCGCTTTCAGCAAGTCTAACCGGGCGCTGGGCTTGGTCCTGGCGACCAATGAGGCCAGAAGGAAATCTGGACCAAAAAACCCACAGAACCTGAGGAAAAAGAAAAATCCGGACCAGGGGCAGCGAGCCCATTTCTGGTGCAAAGCCGGCCTCTGGCTCGGAGCCCACATGGCCCCCTCGGGCAGGTCGGTCTCAAGCTTTCCAGCAGCAATGTGTTGTCTTATGATCCAGGGAGACGTGATGCCCCCTCATCCATGGATCTAAGCAAAACCACGCAAAGGACCCTCTGCTCCCACTTCGCTTCAGCAGCAGATAAGCCAGTCGGACAGGAGGGACGAGGGAGAGCACGTGGCAGTCGGGGGCATAAGGAGCCTGATGTCGTTACGTTTAGGCCACTTCCAGTCACGGGTCTCTCCTTGTCATTCACAAGTGAAAACTGCCCTTTGGAACCGTATTTTTGAAAATGAAAGAGTTCCTAAAAGAAAAAGTGTTTTATTTAACGTTTACGAGGTTACTGGTATAGTATTCTGTGTGTGACGAGAAGTGAGTCAGCGAAGTAGTAATGTGTAAAAATGTGATTTTTATGAAAGGTTCTTTCACTAGATGAGGTGCCTTAACTAGCTGTCTTTGTCTAAATACCAAAACCTCTGAATATCTAAGAATTATCACAGGGAAAAAATTAGAAAATATATTTTTACATATAAATATTAATTTTTCTCTTAAAATACATTTCATTTTTAAAATTGAGTCATCATCTGTTAAAGTGTATATACATTTTTAGGGACACTACACACTCACACAGTGCAATTTCACTGCTAGGAAATGTATACATAATAGCTCCAAGCATGCAAATAAAAAAGCTGTATGTAAAACACACAGCCCACTCAATGTCCCATCGGCAGGGTACTGGTTAAAGAGTGCCCTGCCGCCCATCAGTGGGATACTGATGACAGCCCCTATTTCAGGGGGAGGGTCCCACACAGCACACCAGCAGCTCAGGGCCAGGAGGCTGCTGACCGGGAGACAGGGAGAAGGCAGAACCAGGCAGAACAGAAAAATTAGAAGCTCGTCACGGTGTCCACATAAAACAGAGAAGCGACTCCTCAGATCAGTGTCTTCACCACAAATACTGACCTCCTGCGCTTGAACTTACACAGCGTTACACTGAGCCGTCCGTCCAGATGACGGTGCAGTGAACACAACCTGGCTAAGGGCTGAGCGGTGTCATATGAGCTACATTTTTAAAAAGTGTTTTTGCATGATTCCCGTCAGAAACAGCGACAGCACCTGGCTGTGAGGCTGCCCTTGAGATCCGTGGAGTGAGCTCCCCGGGAAGGCACTTCAGTCCCTGTGCCTAAAAGCAAGACCCAGACACCAGCCTCTGGTTCATTCCATACACGTCCACAATTTCCATACACGTCATGGCTCGTGTATCTTATTAGAAAGAAGCCAATATTCTGGCAAAATCTCCAAGACTTCAATGAACTATATCTCAGTGCAAAACAGTCAAGGTAGGTTGGTTTGTAAATATTTTAGAAGATCATTAAATAGTAACAGAGAAAGTAATTTCATATCCTCTTGGTCTCTGCGAGAGAATAGAATTACTTCCTTTGTTTACCAGTTGGGCTGAAAACAAAGAAAACACCCAGAGTAGAGGACAAACCAGGAAAACTCCTCCCCATTGAAACCCACCCCACAGTTTCCTTTGTTCTTCCCCACGCCCTGCCTAATAACCATAAATAATCGGAAATGTTTTCACTTTTGCTGACCGACCACTACAGCTGTAAGTCCTCATTTTCTGCACAACCTCACATTTTCATTTTTCCATTTTAATATTATTTTTAACCTTCCTTCCATGCTAGGTTTTTTCTCTACCTCCTTAATTTTGGTTTCTTGAGTTCATAGTACATCAATGAAAGCAAAGAGGTTAGATCACTGATGCTGCCTCATTTTAGAAGATTTAATGCAGATTATGGCCAAGTCTGACTCTCTGCAAAGGGCTCACACACTATTTAAGAAGAAAGACTCAGGACTTGGGACTCAAAGCCAGCCTGCTCTGCAGCGTCTCAGGCGTGCTCTGTCTCTGTGGTTGTCGCGTCTCTAGACCTCAGCTCCGCCCCGTGTGTGCTCACTGGGCACCAACATTTTCCATGGCCAGTCCTGGCTTGGCCCCACAATTTCCATCCATTTAATTTGCCACATACATCTAGTTATCTAGTTTATTTTGTAGAAGGGAAAAGCAGTGCAAAATCATCTTGATTTACATTCTGATTGTAACTTCGTTTTAAAAGTGATTTTACTACATATTATATCAAATTCAATTCTCAAAATAACCCTGTGAACTATTACAGAGCCTGAACTTCTCAGGCTGAGAAATGAAATCCATCTGTCTCCGAATACAGCTCTTCCCACTTCACGTCACCACACACTATTCTCAGAAAACAATTTTATTTACTTATTTTTCATTTAAAGAAACCCGCACCCGAGGATGTCCTTTTATTAATTAGAGTGAAGGGGCACACCGCTCTTGGGAACCTTTAGCGAGACCGATAAGCATCTCCCTGGGTTCACCTGATGGCTGTGTCCAATGAAGTTCAATGGACATTCCATCGAGTGAACTGAGCCGGAGGACAGGCGAGGCATGGCTGCCCTGAGGGAGCGAATGGCCAAACAAAGGAGTGGCCAGGGAGGAGGACACCGACATGTTTATGTGAGCGGACACCTGCATGTTGCCACATGGTGCTGAGAGACGCATGGGAGCACAGAGAGGGGACACGGTTGTCAGGAGGAGAGATCTCTGAGCCGGATCTTAGCTGTTGGCGTGGAGCAGCACCCCGCCCTCGGGGAACAGAGCTCAGAGCGCAAGGTGAGGCCTGGAAGTCAGGGTCAGGGACAGGCAGAGGCAGACAATGGAAGACCCACGGTCCATGTAAGCTCGCTCTGCCTGCAGGGACGAAGAGCCACCTAGGGATTAGCTCTGTGAATCAGACTGAGGCCTCAGGGCCGATTTAAAGGATGGACTCCAAGAGGATGAGAATGGGGGTCTAGAGGAAGGACGAAGGGGGACAACGACAGCAGTGGGGGTGAGGGGAGAGGGTCCAGATGGGTACATGAGTCTGAGCAACACAGGAGGTAAACTGGCAAGCCTCCACACTGGATACAGCGCGGGAGGAGGTTTCTGGAACTATGCCCAAAAGGTGGAATGAGGGCAATCCCTGTATTAAAAGCTTATTTTAATCATGTTGAATACCTTCCATTGTCTCTTATTTGAAACTTTTTTATTTTTAGTAAAGATGCCCTCCCCTTACCTGTACAAACTCCCTCGCCCCACGCCCTAGCGTGAGCCATCCGCCCCAGGACAGTCCCCCCCCACCCCCCACCCCGCCTCCTAAACGTGGGTTAACACAGCAGAGACCTTCACTCCTTAGAGATTTTGAATGTCCGTTGCTGAATGTTCTCGTATTTATTTAACATTAACTTGTAACCATTTCTTTTTCTGTTTTGGGGGTTGTTTTTTTGTTTGTTTTTTAATTTCACTGATTTCAGAAAGAGGACAGGAGAGAGGGATAGGAGCATCAATGATGAGAGAGAATCATTGATCAGCCACCTCCTGCAAGTCTCCAACTGGGGATCGAGCCTGCAACCCGGGCATGTGCCCTGACCTGGAATCGAACCGTGACCTCCTGGTTTATGGGTGGATGCTCAAACACTGAGCCACACTTGCTGGGCAACTTGTAACAGTTTTGATAAAAAAGTTATTGGTATCTAATCACCTTACTAAAAATTATGTCTTCCATTCTAATATTTATGTTTGTGTTTATTTTACAGTTTAGTGCAATGACCAGAACTTCCAGAATAAATGTTAAGTAATAATGAAGCAGATATTCTTGCTTTGTTTCCAAATGTACAGAAATGTCATTAATATTTTATCACTAAATATTAAACTGGCTATTAGCTTATCATGTTTAGAAAAGTACCCACACATTTCAATGTTAATTCCCATTTTTAAAAAAGCTCATTTAGAACGATCACCATTTAAAATCTGTTAACACAAAATGAGGTCATTCAGCTGACCACATTACAAAATCCATCTTTTACTGCCAAAGATTTAGAAATATTTTTCAATTTTATATTTGCATCATAGAAAGAGTTATAAAAATATAAAGTAACTATTGATAAACTCTTCCACAGAACAACAGACAACAAACTATATAGTATATAATTGGTCTCTACACCATTTTCCTATAGAAAGGAAATAAAAGCTTACAACCACCACAACAAAAGAAAACGTTGTTTATAGGAGATACTAACTATGGCTGGTATATTTTGAATATTTTCAAAGTTAAATCTGAAATGATCAGAGTTAAATACATATTTAAATAAGGATTAAAAACCACCCAGGAAGAAAGCAGCTCTTACCTGTAACGAACATGAAAAGAATGGTCTTCCCTCATGCTCACCAAACTCTCCTCCATCGAGGCATATTACAAGCTGCGTACAATGGGAAACTATCTTACTCTGGGCCAATCGTCCTGTGCGGTGTAGACTCGCTGCACAGACTGTCCGGTTAGCAGAGGAACGAACTGGCGTTAACGCATGCTAAGCTGCTGCTTCTTCTTTATTAACAGTGAAAGGAGGTCAGTGTCAGGCAGCTTAAGGTTCCCGGGGCCCCAAATCCTGGCATCTCTGGCCCTTTCAGCAGCACTTCAGCAACATTTCTGCAAAAGGAATACAAACGCTTTGCTTGAAGTCCTGTTTTCAGAGAGTAACCTGAAGTGATCCCAAGCTGGGCCTAGTCACACAGCGCACGGCGCAGTCGCGAGAGAGAGAGAGAGAGAGAGAGAGAGAGAGAGAGAGAGAGAGAGAGAGAGAGAGAAAAGAGAGCCGAGCCTGACTGTGCCAGGAGCCTCTAAGTAAGGGTGCACATGAGGCTTATTTCAGAGGTACTCTCAAGTTCAATTTTAAACTGGCTTGAAATACAATTTTATGTCATATTTTCTTCTATAAACAAGTATAGAATATGTATATTATCTAAAAACAAAAGTATATTTTAAGCTTTTAAAAACCACTATTAACAAGTAAAATGAAAATTCAATAATTACTAGTATTTGAACAAATTGATTCTAAACTCTGCAAATTTCTTTCTTCAAAGAAGATATCTGTGCTGACATTTAGGCTATACTTGTATTCATTTGCCCTCAAAGTATATTGTATTTGAACTCATTAAGGCCTTTAAAATGTTTTTATTACTATTGAGTAGGTACAAAGAAAGTTAGGAACTATGTGTATGGTAGGATGACCCAATGAACACTTCCATACCACCACCCGGGCCAAGACACAGAACAGTATCACTGCCTTTGAAGTCTCCTGGTACGTCAACCTAATCCATCACATTTCTCTCCCCTCTCAGGTGGTACTGGCATCAAAACGGACACCGAGAGCAATGGGACAGAACAGAGAGCCCAGAAATAGATCCACGCTATCTGCTTAATTAATCTATGACAAAGGAGGCAAGAACATACAGCGGGGAAAGACAGTCTCTTCAATAAATGGTGCTGGGAAAACCAGACAGATGCAAAAGAATAAAACTGGACCAGCTTCTTACACCATATACAAGAATAAACCCAAAACAGATCAGAGACTTAAATTAAGACTCACAACCCTGAAACTCCTAGAAGAAAACAGAGAGGCAGTAAACTCTGTGACATCATTCTTAGTGATTTTTTGGGGGAAATGTCTCCTCGGGCGATGAGGCTACATCAAAATAAAAGGTCTGACACAGCAAAGGAAACCATCAACAAAACAAGAAGACAACTTTCTGAAAGGGAGTAGGTATTTGCCAGTGGCACATCCAATAAGGGGTTAACATCCAAAAAGATAAGGAACCTCATACAACTTAACCACCAGAAAAACCAAAGAACCCGATTTAAAAATGGGCAAAGGAACAGAATAGACATTTCTCCAGGGAGGACACACAGAAGCCAACAGGCATGTGAAAAGATGCTCAACATCACTAATCATCAGAGAGAATTTTTGTTACTGTTAATCCTCATCCAAGGATATTTTTTCCATCGATTTTTAGAGAGTGGAAGGGAGGGGGAAGACAGACAGAAACATTGATATGAGAGAGACATATTGATTAGTTGTCTCTCACACACACCCCAATTGAGGCCGGGATCAAGCCTGCAACCGAGGTATGTGCCCTTGACCAGAATCAAACCCAAGACCCTTCAGTCTGCTGGCTGACACCTCTAACCACTGAGAAAACTGGCTGGGGCAGAGAGATGCAAATTAAAACCGCAATGAGATATCACCTCACACCTGTCAGAATGGCTATCATCAATAAATCAACAAACAGCAAGTGTTGGCGGGGATGTGGAGAAAAGGGAGCCCTCGCATACTGCTGGTGGGAATGCAGACTGATGGAGCCACTATGGAAAACTGTTGATGGGATTGTAAATTGGTGCAGCCATATGGAAAACAGGATGGAGGTTCCTAAAATAATTAAAAATAGGGCGGAGCAGGTGGAGCGGTCAATGGGTAAAAGAGGGCACATCTGTAATACTTTCAACAATAAAGATGAATTAAAAAAACAAAAACAAAACTAAAAATAGAACTGCCATATGATCCAACAATTCTACTTCTAGGTATTTAACTGAAGAAATAAAAAACACTAATTTAAAGCCCTAACCGGTCTGGCTCAGTGGATAGAGCGTCAGCCTGCAGACTGAAAAAACACTAATTTAAATATATATGTATGTGTGTGTATGTATGTATATGTGTGTGTGTGTGTGTGTACCCTTACGTGCCCTGCAGCATCACTAGTAATAGACAAGATATGGAACCTAGATATCCATCAATAAATGAATGGATAAAGAAGATGTGGTATATATCCACAATGGAATATTATTCAGACATTAAAAACAATAAAATGTTGTCATTTGGGACAACAGGGATGGACCTAGAGGGTATTGTGCTAAGTGAAATAAACTAGAGAAAGACAAATACCACATGATCTCACTTATATGTGTAATCTAAAATAAATAAGTAAATGAATAAACAAAACAAAAATAGACTCATAGAGAAGATGATGGTGGTTACCAAAGAGGATCGAGTAAGGGGATGGGAATTTTAAATAAAAATTAAAGAAAAAAAGACTTCATAAAGAACCATTTTAAAAATAAAACAAGCAAGAAGACAAGAATGCTATTCACCATTTTACTGGGACAATTTATAATATGGTTTAATTATACTCAAAAGAAGAGTATCCTCAAAAAAAATCACTCTTACATTACAATCTCCATAATTAACAGTTCTTAAAATTACTCATTGAACAATGAACAAACAAGCAATTCTTGATTCAATGATTTGTGTTGTAAGAACTCTGACCAATTTAGTAACAATGTGTTCATTCATACCCTGCATTGCATGGAGTTAACAAATCCATGTCATACTTTAACACATATCTTAGTGCTACATCTATTATATCTATTTGTGTTACTAGTTTAATACTAATAAAATGTGCAACAGATATTAAATTATGAATGGTTCATTAGGATAAGAAAATGTAATGACACGACCAGGAAATGGAATGGAAATTAGAGTTTTGAAAGAATATTAAGAAACCATCAAGTTTAACCTCCAACCTCTATTAAGACTTAATAACCTGTAATTTGTCAGGAACACATATATCCTTAATAGCATCTCCCAGGTTTTAAAGAACAATGCTCCAAAACCTCACTGCTAACAAAACGGTTAGCTCAAAGCGTCTTTTGGTCTGACTGTGGAGAAATGAAGAGAAAGCAATAATCTTTCCCATACCCTAGAAATTGACAGAACCATATAGAAAGATCAACTAGTGCATAACTCTGACTGCCTCACACGTGATTACCTGATTAGGGAGTCAAAAAGGCGACTCCTGTCCTACAGCCAACTGGACTTCCGGGCACTGTCCAAGGTACACAACCAGCGTAAACAAGACCTAGGCCTGCTTTACTCCATGACAAGGACATATTTGCAAACTAGGCGATGGGGGAGAAGGGGGTAGACAGTTACATTATGTCTTTTGTAATACTTTCAACCTATCTAAACTACTTCTGATTCAACTCAAATGCCCGTAACTTTTGTTTAGATTCTTTCATTTAAGTACGTACTTCTAAAAACTGGGAACACCCATCAGACAAAAAAATATAACTGACTTTTCTTGCCTTTAGGTGAGATCATTTAAATTCGTTTAAACTTCTCTTATCCTAATAATTCCTTCTAAGATACAATACTCAAATTCGCCAAATCCCTTTCAGTTGTAATGTTTCAAGTCAGATAAAGGAACTTTTTTCAATGAGTGTGGCTAAATACTGGTAATCAAGAATATACAGGGTGTCCCCCCAAAAATGTATACATACTTGAACAGCTGAGAACTCACTTAAATTATCACTCCTTTTCAGGTTTAACTGATTTGAAATAATAAAGCCAGACTAAGCTTTAAACAAAGGAAATTTATCCTAAAATGCCCCATGGACATTTTTTATGGGGGATACATAAAAAAATTAAGTTTACAGTAAAAAACCAGGAACAGTTGATGAATTGAAGAATCAATACTCAATAAAATGACTCTTGATGTTTACAATCCCATTGCTTTGTGTTATCAGCAGTGCCTGGACCAAAACGGTCACCAGTTTAAAAACAGGCATTGAGCCGAAACCGGTTTGGCTCAGTGGATAGAGCGTCGGCCTGTGGACTGAAAGGTCCCAGGTTCGATTCCGGTCAAGGGCATGTACCTTGGTTGCGGGCACATCCCCGGTGGGGAGTGTGCAGGAGGCAGCTGATCGATGTCTCTCTTTCTCATCGATGTTTCTGACTCTCTATCTCTCTCCCTTCCTCTCTGTAAAAAATCAATAAAATATATTTTTAAAAAAACAAAAAAAAAACAGGCATTGACAAAAAAAAGTATTTGTTTCATTAGATTCTTTTACATTTTGAAAATGAACTGTATGTTAATAAATACGAATTTTAAAATTATTCAAGTGTGTATACATTTTTAAGGACACCCTCTATTTTAAAATGAAGTTCTTCTCTATTAGAATTCAGGGTACAGCTTATAGTAACAAATGCACATCATAATAAGAATCCTATATAATAAAGAGCTAATATGCAAATGGTTGTCATGCCCTCACACCGTCAGGTGGTAATGGCGCAGACACTCAACACTGGGGAGAGAAAAATGGGGACCAGCCAGGCTCAAATGAGCTCGTGAGAGAGGAATGGGGACCAGCCAGGCTGCAGCCCAAGAGAGGGACAAGTCGCTCGCCCTGCAGTCCCAGGCGCTAGCAAGCTGCAGCTGCAGCCCAGGCAAAGCCGCCTGCCCATGGTCATCTGCAGCTGCGGGTGGCCCAGGCAAAGCCGGCCTGGGTCCTGGGTGCCTGCAGCTGGCCAGAAGGAGGGAAACCCAGGTCCTAGGTGCCTGAGACTGGCCGGAGGAGGGAATCCTGGGTCCTGGGTACTGGGCGAGGCAGAGGCAGTTAGGGGTGATCAGGCAGGCAGGAGAGTGGTTAGGAGCCAGTGGTCCCAGATTGCAAGAGGCAATAGGACATCCCCTGAGGGGTCCCAGATTGGAAAAGATGCAGGCTGGGTTGAGGGCATCCCCACTCCATGCATGAATTTCGTGCACCAGGCTTCTAGTAGGGTAATAAAGTAGGATGCTCAGGCTCTGGCTGGTTTGGCTCAGTGGATAGAGGGTCAGCTTGTGGACTGAAGGGTCCCAGG